TTACCTTATATTTCCATATATAGAAGCAACTCAAATAAGTGCATTAATAACAAAAAAAAAAAAAAATGCCCAACTCCAGTTAATTATAAACTTAATAAATAACCATCATTTATTTTTATTAAATCCACATATCTCACGTGAGTCCCGGACTCCCATCCAATAAAGTGGTGTGAATCGTACCGAAAACACACACGTGGCTGGGTTGTACGTCTACTCTCCAAATGATCCTGGATCACGTCCACACAATAAGGACACATTAAGCCCATGACCATAATAAAAGGGTAGTACACTCCCAAATAGGCAAGTCCCAAACCATACCCAAAAGTCATCATAGGGTCAGCCCCGAAATACCCCTCCAACTAATCCAAACTCATCCATTAATATAATTATGTTGAATTATGGAAGGCATTAATTTTATAACTTAAATTAATGATTAAAACACCAAAATACACTTTTAAATTGAAAACAGAACACTAAGGACCCAACCAGTGAGAGTACAAAAAATTATAGACATAGCCTAATATTATATATGACTCCCTACAAAATTTCAGAAGCTAAATCTTAATATCCTTTTCGTACTCTCCATCTTAGTGCTGAAAATACTACTTTTTCGAGTTTTAATTTGGTAAAACTATCCAAATATCATTTAAAAATCTGAATTTCATCAAAACTAAGTTCATTATACAAAAACATAATATTCTTGAATTTTCAATAATTTTTGGAATACTAAAAATATTTTTCCTTAATATTCTAATTTAAAACTAATATAAAAATTTAGTTAAATATATTATTTTATTTCGGTTGAACCCGGGTGTGAGCCCTACAGATTAGGCCTGGTAAGTGGATTCCAATGATAATTTTCAATAGTCAAACCGTTGTCCCACGACTACTCACCTTTCTCCACTCTCCTGCACCGAGAGTGGCTTTGTACATAAGACCCAAAAATGGGTCTCCCTACACTCAAACATTCTCTGCAATTTCCCTTAACCAATTAATTCTAAAATTAAATCTACCACCAATATAACCAGTAACCTATATCTACCCAAACTAATAATACGTCCTTTAATTATTAATTCGTGTGTATACTTACATACATATTTATATATATATATATATATATATATATATATATATATATATATATATATATTAACAGAGAGGCGATATTCGCACTCTACTTTTAAAGAAATTGACATCTCTAATAGCATCTCCAGTGGTATGTTAAAAAATATTTTTGTGTAAAATATACACTGCCACATAAAAATTGTAAATTTTTTTCATCTCCAACAATCTGTTAATATACATTGCCACATCACCAATGTGTAAACGGGTTGTGTAAAATACACAACCCTTTTAAATAACCATGTAAGAATAGTTTCTCTCTCTTCCCCCTTTCCCACCCGCGTTTATCTTTCTTCTCTCCCATTATTTCATGCCTTTTTATTTCCCACTGTTTTAGAGCACCATAGAAAAGAATCTGCAACTGGCGGCAAGGTAAGAACTGCTTAAACATCTTTTATTTATTTATTTATTTATTTATTTATTTTTAATAAACTTTGTTTGATTTGTCACTTTGTTTGATTTTATCTTCTGCAATAATCGCCATAAATTCTAATGTTTTATATAATTATTGTCAATCGCAGTTAAACAAATGATTTTCTTTTTTCTTTCTTGGTGATTTACTCAATTAAACCCTAAATCGTATGCTGGTTATTTATTATTAAGTCATAATTCTGGTGAGAAAGTTTTCTTTTGGCGGGATGGGAAAATGAAATATAGAGGGAAATTATTATTTTTTTCCTAATTGAGGAATATTAAGACATGAGGTTTAATCGCCAAAAAGTAGAGTGAATCAAGTAGGTTTGTAAAAGTTATGTTGGGCCTTGGGTATGACACGTGGTGGGTTATTATTGGAGGATATTTTTGTACACAAAAGGTATAAAATAACCATTGGAGCTAAAAATAGGTAGTACAAAATTTTTGTGTAAATCTACTCTGACACATCAGATTTACACAAAAATATATATACTACCGCTAGAGATGCTCTGATCTTAACTTTAAAAATTAATAATTATTTTTCTCAAATATCACAATTACACCTTTCAATTATGGTAAGATCTTTTTGTCTCCCCTCTTTTCCATTAACGTTTTTGGTATCTTATGTTTTTTGTGTTTTTTGTTAATCTCTCTTTTTCTCTTGCATCCTACATTTTCTAAACTATTTCTATATTTTGTATTAACTTTCTATTATCTCTCTCGTTAGGGTTTGATATTGATCTTTACAAGTAATAATGAAATATGTCACAAATGAAAAAAAAAGTAAGAGTTAAGAACGATGTAGTTGGTCTTGTTAGCATAAATAAAATATTAAATAAATATTAAAATTTAATGAACCATTAAACTCCTTTGATGATAATAGTGATGGGAATGGTAAATTGTTTTTTATTTTATTTTTCTTTTCTGTTTTACGCTTTGAGTTTACGTTTAGAATTTTTTTTTTTTTTCCTAATGTGATTTTTAAGATTTAATTTGGATGGTGATGGGAATGGTATTTTTTAATTTTTTTTATTTTATGCTTTGAGTTTAGTTTGATTTTTTTTCTTTGATGTTATTTTTAAAATTTAATTTAGAATTTAGTTGAATATTTAATTTTATGTTATACTTGTTGATGAAGGAAGTCCTAATTATTCTGACAATAAAATTAAAAGACTATGAATTTTGTAAAAAAAAAAAAAAAGAAGTAAAGAAAGTAAATAAGGTAAGAAGAACAAATTTATGTTGAAAAGAGGTAGATGTGGTATTGTAAAATAAGTGATGATATATTAATGAGATTAAGGCCTTCTTGTCATTTCTTTTTCTAAAAAAAAATGTGTAATTGTACAAAAGTGGAGTGTTAATATATGTAAATTACATATATATATATATATATATATATATATATATATACTCACACGTACAAACACATACATATACGGAGTCATATATACACACGCATATCATCACCCTATTCATTGCTCAACAATACTGCCAACTAGATTTCATATTCATACGGTAGATACATGACATCTATTGGGATTCAAGACAACTCAAAGCATGATGGTTTAAAATTATTGAATTAAAACTATACATAGTCTCCCAATCTATTCTTAATTGTCTTTAAAATAATTTACCACAATTCAACAAACATGCTAAAATAATTTTCGTAATCAAGATTCACCTTGGCATGTTTAAATTAAATCTTGTTACTATAAATTCCTATGATATAAAACCTTAAATAACTATTTGCCTACCCAGTCACAAATATAATAGAAGAGTACAAACAAGATTAACTTGCTTACGCAAATCCTTGGCCACCGATTCTTCTTTCGACTACTATTTTTTTTTTTTTTTTCTACAAAATACCATACCCCTAGCACTGATTCAACGTTAGCTATAAAAGGATAATTATAACTTATAGTTGAGATAGTTTAAGATTCCTTTTTAAAATTTAACTTTTAAAAAATCAATTATCTCTAATATATCGTTCAAATACTAAATACTAAATAATATAATATAATATACGAAAGCTAAGAGTTTTACACAACTACTTCTAAACATCAATTAGAAAGAGAGAAATAAAAATAAATAAAAAGAAAAATAAAAGAAAAGAAAAAAAAATTATTTAACATATAAAAAAAATTTAGTAACAAATTCAATTCAAAATCAAGTCCAACCCAAACTCAAAAAACATTGAAACGCGGACTCAAAATATTAAATTAAGAATGAATAAAAAATAAAAACTGGAGAAAAAAAATTACAATCCAAAATAAACTTACAAAGACCAAAATAAAAATAAAAACTAAATAATAAAGAAGAATGGTACTTCTAAAAAATAAAAAGTAAAGAAAAAAAAATAACAATAATGACTCAAAATAATAATAAATTAAGAATGAACCCAAAATAGAAAATAAAAAAATGAAGAAAAAAAATCATAATCCAAAGCAAACTTACCAAATCAAACACTTCTAAACATCAATTAGAAAGAGAAAAATAAAAATTAAACAAATCAACTACTTCTAAACATCAGCTAGAAAGAGAAAAATAAAAATAAAAGAAAAGAAAAAAACAAAACAAAAATAATAATGCTTCTAAAAAGAAAAAGTAAAGAAAAAAAATTAACAATCCAAGTTAAATTTACCAGATGAACACTAACTATTAGTGTATAGAAAATAAAATAGATAATTTGTGGTAGAGTTTTTTAGATTGTATACTTAGATTTTCTTTATGAAAAAAACTCAAAATATCTAAGCACTTTATTTCCTTCTATTAAAAAACTCGTAATTTGAGAAACTCTTCTAAACATTTTATATTAATTAAAAATAATAATAACTCATAATAAATAGATAAATAGGTAATTTGTGTTATAGTTTTCTGAAACTCTTAAAGTTTTATAGCAACTATTTTAAAAACTCTTTTTATATTAATTAATAAATATTTTTTTATATTAATAAATAAATATTGAAATATGGATATTAAAGAACTCATAATAAATAGGTAATTTAAAAAACTCTTTTAAACACCTTATATTAATTAAAAATAAATAAAAACTATAAATTGATAATTTGTGTTATAGTTTTATAAAAACTCTTAGAATTTTATAATAAATAGATAAATAGGTAATTTGTATTAGAGTTTTATAGCAACTATTTAAAAACTCTTTTTATATCAATTAATAAATACTTTTTTATATTAATAAATAAATAGTGAAATACTAAAACTCTTTACACTTTTAATAATATATAATAGTGTATATATATATATATCTGAGAAGGTGTATATATCTAGAGTTGAAGAGACTTGCGCATGGACCTTATTTTAACCATTGATTACATAAGGGAGTGCTCAAGGGCCACAATCTAGCACTTACGCCCCGAACTTTAGAACTCAAATAGTTTGTCATTTGGATCCCCTAATAGGTCCAATCATTGCTAAAATTTGAAGAGCAGAGAGGTGCAAGTAGGTGAACTGAATTGGGCTATATATTATATATGTACTGTTAATTAATGACATTGACTCGGGTGATTCATCTCTTGCAATGGCAACACATTACTGAAGGGTCAACCCCATTGATCTGAAACCTTATTGTCATTTTTATTCAAAGTATAGTATCTCAACTCTGGTACAAACTGTCTTCAAATTGAGATGCTATTAGGAACTCCCTTCCCTGTCACTCCAGAACCCGAAAATGGCTTCAGTAGCTCATATGGCACCACCCCAGCTCCATTTCTATTCCTCAAATTCTTGTCAATGTTCCTAGAATCTATAATCCCTTCAAGTTTCCTCATCTCCCCATTAAACCTCTCAAAGGCTGCGTTTATAGCCGGTTCCTCAGCCCAGGCTGCCTCAGGCTTCTCACCAATATACTCCTCCTCCGGAGAATGATTGGACAACACATCCAAAATGGCCATAACTATCGCGGCTTGAACTTGCGAAGGGAACGTCATCAATAGAGTAACATCAGGCTTCTCCATGAAAAAATTCAATTCTTCCTCAGTTGGCTCTTCGGTAGGCATGTTCTGCCTAGCAATGGAAGGCCTATTGGGGAAGTAACCAGCATAGTCATATTGACCAAAGTTCACAGCTGAATGGTGACCAGATGGTACCCATATCATAGTTGTGAGAATGCCAATCAGATCTTCGGGGGTTTTGAGCTCCGGCCACCCTTCCTTTTTGTCACCGTGGCCAACTGTTTTTATTTCTGTCCACCATGCTTGGAGCTCTTCGTCAGACTCTACTAGACTTGCCTTTGGGTAGTAGAAATTAACATACTCAGTAACCCATTGTTTAATGGCATCCCAAAGAAGGAGACCGTCGTTGGCAAAAGGGTAATCTTCAATTGCCAGCTTCAAACCATGCGGAGCGCTTGGATCCTCCACAGCCATTCCCCTAATTAGGTCAACAACACCAAAGCAACAAGGCCATAGTAGATTAGTATATTGGTTACTTGTAGTCTGTACTAAACCATGCACCATCTGTTCTAAAAGTTTAAACTATTAGTGACTGTGTAATTTTAATACTTAAATTCAAAATTCAGGATCTTGTGTGCTCTGATACCATATTAACCACTATGTGCTTTAAAACTTAAGTTACTAGAGACCGTATCACTTTAACATTTATCTTGATATATAAGTAGTTAGCTTTTACTTTATTTTCTTGAGCCTGCCAATAAGTAATTTACCTGTTAATTAGGTCTGCTGGAAGTGCTTGCAAATCGAATCGCCATTGCTGGTCATAGGCAGCTGAGCTAAGCTCCATAGAATATTTGCCAGGTGAGAATGATGACTCGATAATCCCAGCTCCACTGATGAGGAAGTTTCGTGCCAAAGCATTGATCTCCATTGTGTACCGTAAATGAGGGTGTAACAGTCTATAAATAGGGTGCATTGCGCTAAGTTGCCGATTAGTTGCAATTACATAAGGCTCCACACAAGCGTGAGTTCTTAGCCTGCACAAGTGCACAATGGAAGCCCCATTTCAGTATCATTTATACATTCATATATATAGCTGAAAGTTCATATTACATTAGATATATGTATAAAGAGCATATATTATCCATTATAAGCTGACTTTTAATATCATATTAATCTGAATTTTGATAACTTTTAATTAAATTTGATTAAATTTAATACCCAAATGTTGTATGAACCATATACAAGCCTATAAACTGATAAGAAAATTAGTGCATGCCTACCAGTGAGTGATTAGCTCGTGAACACCAGAGTCATGAGCAAGGACATGAGCCTTGGCTAGTCTCCAAAGCCAGCAGCCTGTGGCTGTCCAATCGGGCGTGAACACTTGCCTCCAATGAGGCTTCCCATCCGCTGGTGGCCGAGTCAGCTCAATGGCTAGCGGCCTCAGCGTGCCATCGTGGGTGAGGAAGAACAATGTCCTTGATCCGTAAAGTGTAGTTTTGAATGACGGCGATAGAGCTCTTACTTTGTTCACATATGGTAACAACAGATCGTGGTAATCTAGCATGAACAGCCTCTTTTTTTCCACAGCCTGCATGTAACCATCAATATTTTTTTTTGTTTCGGAAATTAACCATCAATATTTGATAACTTAACATTTGAGAGGTAACTTTCTTTGCATATAACCAAAATGTAGTGTTTTAAATTTTTTTTTCCATTTGAAATTTACTAAAGTAAGAAATGGCTGTGGTTTTAGTTTGTCCAAGGTTCAAGTCCCTGTAAAGATAAAATGAGTGTATAAGTTTTTAAAAGAAAATATTTTATACGGTCTTAAATTTCACCTTATTCAAAACTCAAAATAGAATTTCATTTCCTTTTACCTTTATGAAATCAAATTTCCGGGAAGATATGATTTCAAATCAAGTTTAGTAAGGATTATGAATAGTTAATGGGTTTTCCAATATATATAATTTACCTCTTCAATGGTACAGATGCCTCCTATCTCTCGCTCCACCAGCTCTTTGGTGATTGCTGATTCAGGTGGGCCGTAGACTTTCGGATCAAGTTTGCTCTTCAATGGCCATTCCTGCACAATTTCTTGTATTATGAGTGTATGTAGCATTTGTTTCTCTATCTTTAGAATAATTACATACAAACATATAAAAGGGCAGTTTTCAAAAATTTAGAAGACAAATAATTATAATTATAAAAGAGAGTTCCTTGAGAACAAGTCTTTTTTTTTTTTAGAGTTTTCAAAACATTTTTGAATACTTTAATCAAACATTTTTTTCTGTCTACAATTATCCAATTTCGATTACTCAGTAAACTAAACTAGATATGCTCATATTTTCCGTCTTGTATATTTTTAGGAAGTTTTGTACGTCATACCGTGACCAACTTTATGGTATATGGGTTGATACCAGCAAGAATCTGTCTAGAAAACTCCTCGTCTCTAAACCAAGAAAATTTATCCCCTGCGATTGGAAGACATTAAATTAAGAGAGGGAAAGAGCCATCTATAATGTTGTGTTAAGGAGCACCAAACTAACACATTAAATTTGAAATTGGAGAAAATTATATGTAATATTTTAACTAAATTATCTTCAATTTTAAAGGGCTAATTCGATACTTTCAAATATAGCATAATTGTTGCGCTTACTCTCAAGCATTTCTGGGGTCTCAAAGCGTAAGATACTTTGCTGACCATCAACAATAAACTTGACAATCCTTGGTATGATATCGAGAACCCCATTTTTGCTAAGCGCGGGTAGGTTAATTCCTTCATTGTACAATAAATCTATGGTTGTGAAGTATGGAAATCCAAGGTCTTTATCCACAATTACTGTCTGTATCGCTGGTACAACTGCATGAAACACCGAGTATATGGTCTTCGCTGAGAATGTTGCACCCTTCACGTCTGAAAATGCTTCATCCCTTGGCACATAAATGCTGCTGCTTCTTGTCTCCGATAATGGATCTGCATGCAATAAATCAATACATACATACATACATACATACATATATATATATATATATATGTACATATGTATGTATATATGTATGTATGTATAGTACGTAGTTCTTAAACTTAGAAATAATTAAGTTTTTCAGTGATACATGGTGGTGATTGCATGTAAAACAATAAATGTGACCAATGATTTCATATGCATATTAAGCAAAATGAGGATCCTGTGCTATTTTCGCACATCTTGTGCCTAATACAACAACTTTTAATACTGAATGCAACAATTTTAACCAACAATGCAGCAATTGTTAAATTCTTGATTTAATAGTGTTATTACATTCCAACCCGATGTAATAAATTGAATAGGTAGTGTTAACATGGATATAAGTGTATTGCACAATTTTTTAAAGTTCTTGCATAGATGCCGCATTTTGTCATATAACTGCGTTACATTGGGATATAGGTATGTTCACTGTAATGTAACTGTGTTGCACCTATGCAAATGATTCCCTAAACAAGAGAAATCCGAGTTCATATTAAGCATTGCACTAGACTTACTATGGTCATTGTGTGACAATTATTTTTAGAAAAATGATCGATAAACTTGTCTGGTTTAATTAAGACTGCTTTTACTTTTAAGTTCGGTCACAAAATAATAAATTTCTTTTTAAAAAAATAAATAAATAAAGGACCTTAGAAAGAGAGTGGCATTTGTCCTTTCTTCAATTTAAATAAAAAATAAAGCTTCAATACTTCCCAATTTAATAGTCAATCGATCTTGTTTTGGCTATCCCAAATACTTTTTGTTTCATGTAAAAACACAAAGTGAGATAAATGCAGTTTTTCATAAATATTCTCTACGTTTTCAAAATTTTCCGAACTTGGAAAATACATATTTCAACTTCAAATGGTGACTTGAGAATTCCAAAAAGGTTAACGCATGTTCCCGTGAAAAGTTAGAACACTGAAAATATAACTATTAGGGTAAATTGTAGTCATACCCCCAAGTTTGTCATAAAGACAAGTAGATATAACTTAGGCATTTTTTGGACAATGACACTTCCCTAGTTTGGAAAAATAAACAAAGACACCCCAAACATGATGAAAGTACATATTTACCCTTTCACCATCTAAAATGACCAAAGTAGCTGTTGAATATTGTGGCTCAAAATTACCAAATCAGCATTGTTTTGCATCACCACTTACATCAGCTTTCTTGGCAGCCAAGGAGTGTGATCAGTAAGCTTTTAGGCGTGGTCAACAAGTTGGCATATGTACTTAATCAGCAAGTATTTGGTGACCATTTTTTGGCTATAAATAGCTTTGCTCTCCATGGTGTTGAAACATCCGAAATCAATTGAGTGAGTATATTAGTATCATTTAGAGTGAGGGGCCTTTGGTGTATTTGGATTTTGGGTGTGAGCCATTTTGTTTTGTATCTCTTTATTTTCATAGTGAAATATTATTTTGTCTTTTCCTCGTTGACGTAGGCATATATAGCCAAACCAGATGAATCCTTGTCTCATTTGTGTGTGTGCTATTTATTTTTCTTGTCATTAATTTTTCTCTTTGTTCTCATAAACTCCTATTCAATCCCTTTTTCATAACAAACTGGTATCAGAGCTTGGGTTCATGTATATTATGTACAAATACTGTTCACACTTACGGTACTTTTCACATATACTATTCGGATACTATTCACAAATACAATACTATTCACCTAGTAATTTTTGGGGAGTTTTTTTAAATGTCAACCAGATATGAGATTGAGAAATTTGATGGTAAGATTAGCTTCAATCTATGGCGCATTAAGATACAGGCCCTGCTGACTCAGCAAGGTCTAAAGAAGGTGCTGTTCGGGAAGAACAAGTTGCCAACAACTATGTCGATGAAAAGGCGTGTAGTGCGATTATTTTGAATCTAGCTGATGAGGTGCTGCATGAAGTTATTGATGAAGACACGGCGGCAAAGTTATGGCTAAAATTGGAAAATCTGTATATGACGAAGTCTCTCACCAATAAACTCTACCTGAAACAAAGACTATACACCCTTCGTATGAATTTAGGTATACCTCTTAAGAAGCATATTGATAATTTCAATTCTATTATTATGGATTTGAAAAATACTGATATTAAAATTGATGACGATGATCAAGCCCTTATTTTGTTATGTTCTTTGCCTCCTTCCTGTGAGCATTTTGTCACCGCATTGCTCTATGGAAAAGACACTATTAGTATAGAGGATATTAAATCCTTATTGAACTCTCAGGAATTGAGGAAAAAGGTTTCTGGGAATATTGGAGATGAACAGGCCGAGGGTCTATTTGTAAGAGGCAAAAGTGAGACAAAGGGTTCTAGTAATAGGGGCAAATCTAGATCTCATAAAACTGTAGAAGTTACCACTATTATGAGATAGGGAACATCATCAAGCACTGTCCCAAACTAAAGGCAAAGAATTGGAATGGCAAAGAAAAGGTTCAAGAAGCAGCTTCTGTGGCAACTATTAATACGAGTGACTCGGAAAGTGATAATTATGTGCTCATGACAACAGTGTGTTCAGGTATATCATTTAATGACAGTTGGATTCTTGATTCTGGTTGTTTCGTTCATATGTATCTCAGTAGGGATTATTTCTCTTCCTATAAAGAGGTAAAAGGTGGTTAGATTTTGACGGCGGACAAGAAAGCTTTCAAAATTTTGAGAATTAGAACAGTCAAGATCAAAACCCATAATAGGTTGGTGAGAACATCGTCAGATGTGTGGCATGTACCGGATCTGAAGATGAATCTTATTTTAGTAGGTGTGCTAGCAGACTCCAAAGGCCGGTTACAAGGTTATAACAAAGGGTGGAGTAATGTTGGTCGTGATGGATTCTCTTGTGGTGCTACAAGGCACCAAGGTGAAAATTTTGTATCTTCTCCAAGAGAATACAATAACAGGTGGAGCTTCTACATGGTTTTTTATAGTTAGCAGAAATATGCGTTTGGGTCTTGGCAAAAGAAGAGTTAGAAAGAGGAGTTACGATCCTAGTTCTCAAAAGGATTGTGAGGGGACTGCACAACGTGATGGGAGAATGAAATCCATTTTTAGATAGCAATCAAAATTGCAGCAGTTCTTACAGGGAGGCAGACCTATGAGGACAGGTGTGATATTGACTTGCAATAATCTTGGTGGCAATGAGATAGTCCATTCAAGTGCCATTAAGATATATGAGAGGCAAGTGGTTGGTCACAATAGAGATACAAGGAAAAGTCAAAGACGTCATATTCTCCACAAGGGTGAGAAGATGATTTTTCATTACCAACCGGTGGTTTGTGGGCGGTTGGAGAAGGTTGCTGAAGGAGATATCAAACTTAGAGTTTTCAAGGTTACTTTAGGTAAGGGTTTAAAGTTTAACAAAGATACTGGAGGTATGCTTATGGCTACGCAAGGCATACATGGGTTGAAGAATGAGAGCCAGAGGGTTAAGTTTAAGGATGAATCAAACTTAACTAAAAATTTTAATTAATTTGCTTTGTGTAAAAGACAGTTTGTTTTGTAGAGATACAGTGACTTATTTAAATTTTTCACCAACATGGAGATTTGTTGAATATTGTGGCTTAAAATTGCCAACTCAACATTGTTTCACATCACCACTTACATCAGTTTTCTTAGCAGCCAAAGAGTGTGATCAATAAGCTTTTAGGCATGGTCAGTAAGTTGGCATATGTACTTGATCAGCAAATATTTGGTGACCATTTTTTTTTCTATAAATAGCCTTGTTCTCCATGGTGTTAAAGCATCCAAAATCAATTGAGTGAATGTATCAATATCATTTGGAGTGAGGGGCCTTGGGTGTATTTGAGTTTTAGGTGTGAACCACTTTGTTTTATATCTCTTTACTTTCATAGTGAAATATTGTTCTGTCTTCTCCCCGTGGACGTAGGCATAGCCGAACCTCATAAATCCTTATCTCGTTTGTGTGTGTGCTATTTATTTTTCTTGTCATTAATTTTTCTCTTTGTTCTCATAAAATCCTATTCGATTATTTTTTCATAACAGTAGCCTCAGTCAATATAGACATATCACATGCATACTTCTTCTCTCTCCACTCACCAATCACTACTGCAACCTACACAACCATCACTCACCAGTAACCACCACCGCAAACTCCATAACCACCCTAACTTAGGCCCACCAACACCACCCATCTTCCCCTCCACCACCACCATCATCCACAACCACCCCAAATTAGGCCTTATTTACCACCGTCCACAACCATCATCGCCATCACCTTCCATTTCTTCTCATTTATACATATACACGTACACACGTAAATATGTATATACACATATACATAACCACATCACCATAAGCGTCAACACCACAACTGCCGCTGGTACGAGCAACTCCACCACATTCATTACCACATAAAGAAACCCCAAAACAAACAAAGACCCAATATTCCAAATGAACTTCCATCCAAACGCATTTCTAATCACTCAATAATTAACCAAAAAAAAAAATGAGGATTTTAAGCTAAAAGGAAGAAAGAAATAAAGACACAGTGAGTATTGTGTGAAGAAAGTGAGTCGGGGTTAGTAAGGGCAATGATAGAGAAACCTAGGGTTCATTCATGATCAGGATGCTAAGGCATTTGACCTCCACAACTACAACGGCAATGTTCTTGCTAATTGTGATGTCCTTCTTCTCTTTGTAGAAGGAAAAGAAGAGAGGGCCACAAAAAAATGAGAACTTATTCATGATTTCGGCGATAAGGAATGAAAGTGTGCTATGAATTAGTCGTGATTTTGACAACTCGGTTGAGTGAATAGCAAGCAAGGTTCTATTTTTGACTGTGCGAATCCGGGGATCCACTAACTGTATCGTTTAATTTTTACATCTTATGGTTCATTTTCTTCGTCGTCGGTGCTTTTCCTCCGGACAACGTTAAGCCACGATGCCGATGACAAAATTACTAAGAAACTATCCGAGAACTACAAGAAACAGAACTTCACCAATTGTCCGTCGCAG